ATTGCGAATGGTTTACCTCAGAATGCAGGAAAAGTATTGTAAAGGAGACTCTAGGAGAAAATCATAATCTCCTTAAAGAAGCCCTATCACTAAGATGTGATTGTTTAGGGTCAAGAGGGGGAAAGGCAGAGAGAAGATCCGACAGTGATTCAGAAATATCAATGGTTGGCATGAAGGCATGAATACCCTGTAGCCTGTAGGGTGAGGGGAACCACGCCCATCACTGAGAGCTTCACTTTAGTCTCTTCCTGTGTTATCTGACTGGTGTTGATTCAAAATTAGATTTAATTGCAGTGGTTGCACAAGGGAGACCAGCCAACTATAACCCTTATTATCTCTTCTGGTGAAGGCTACCCCTGGTGACAGGTAAATATCCTGGAAAAGCCTATCTCTCCACCCCCTCTTTTATTGGGTTCCAGGCAAAATTCTGCATTAAGTGAACTCACTCTTCACACTTTTCCTGGTGTCTCTTAACTCTGTGTGTCCCTTGCCCCAGTCCATTTGCTAGACAGTTTGTGTTCCTAGAGTAGATGTCTGATAAACAAGTTCACATCCCATTGCTAAAGGCTTTAAGATGCTGATACTCCGGGGGCATTCTAAGGGGAGTCCTTGCCTAGCATGCCTCACCCAAAAGAACCATCTCCAATGGTGGGTTTTCTGGCCCTGGGAATAGCTACATAAAGGAGAAATTGTTTTGAGTGGGATTGTCTTTTTGGGGTCACTCAAGTTCTGCCTATTTCACTTACAAAAAACTCTGGTCATGGGTGAGGGGACAACACATCCTTTGGGGGTTTGAATCCACATTTCTTGTGACTCAAAGCTGGAATTTTTTCCATGGAAACAGTACCTCAAGGGCGCCTTTGTTCAAGATCCCAATGTAATGGAAAGATCTTCTCATTTCTCACTGGTGTTTATTTGTATTGTAAATGTGGGGGACTTCGTGCTGTGCTGAGATTGTGGTTTCCTGATGTACCTTGTAGGGGAAGGGCTAATCCAATGGGTGAATTTGGTCTTCCCTAAGGGGTGGGCAGCCCAGAAGTCACTGCTGAGAAGAGGCAAGTACTGACAGGCATCCTGAGTCTGGACATCCAGGACTTCTGCCTCTTTCCGGGACTTCGTTCTGTGACTGTGAACTTCAAGGCATTGGAGAGAATGCCAGGGGCTGTTTGTTTCTACTCCATTGGGCTGGTTTTCCTCTCAGCTGAGACTTTTCAACAACATTTAATTTTTTTTATTTCTTGAAGAGTTTTATCCCTTAATCTTGCAGGAATTGCAACCCAACTGGGAAAAGATGGTTGAGAGGGAGCTTGAAGAAGCAACCTAGAGGTTCTGTTGGCGGGACAATGGCCCAAGTAGGTTCAGCTCAGGGAATGTAATAATAACTTTCATCTTGTGCTGTTTCAGGAGATACTTTGTCCCTCTTGCTTCTTCCATCATCATGAAGGACTTTCCCTGAACGCTCACTGGCCTCACAGTTGAGGTGTCCCCAGGTTGGCCTTCGGGTCATAGTGTAGGCATTGTTAACTGGACATGCTCTTGTCTAGTTTAGTTTCATGTAATGTGCTTATTGCACATAAATTTCTAACCTTGGGAGCCACCTGTCCAGCAATCTCAGATTCCAGCGTCTTCTTACTCCACCGGGAGACCCTTCACAGGCATGGGCCCAACTCTTCCAGGCTTGAACCTGAGCATTTTCTACTTTGATCCCTGTTCTTGGACTGTCTGGAGTATAAAGCCTTCTAGGATGCAGTGTATCCTTTAGTTTGCTCATAAGCTTCTTCCTCCTGAATATTCTCCCTCTCCTGAAAAACAAATCTCACTATTTGGGTCCTCCTCTCCCATGAAGCCCTCCAGGACTTTCCCTCCCCAGAACTCAAAGGTCTTTTTTCTCCTAATGATCTTTTGGCAACAAATCACATGTCTTATGACTCACTCCAATAATTGTTTTATGGCAAGCATAACACCCACTTTACCAGTTCAGCCTCCCTAATTCTGATGTATGGCAGGCATCTCTGCACAAGGAGATTCTGGGACATTAACTATATTTGGCCAAGTGACCCTGAATTGGGCAGATGTTGTTACCTATCTATCCCCAGTGCTGATCTGTTGGAAATTTGCCTGAACTTCAAAGAATAAAGATTACTGACCTCCCTTGGAAGCCAATGGAAGTGAATTCACTATAGATTTTTTCTTTTTAAGTACAAATGGAGGACAATTAAATGTAGTATATTACAGTTGGTCCCCCCCTTATCCACAGGGGATATGTTTCAAGACCCCCAGAGGACACCTAAAACCACAGATAGTACCAAATCCTATGTATACGATGTTCTCCTATACATCCATAAAGTTTAGTTTCTAAATTAAGCCCAGTAAGATTAACAATAACTAATAATAAAACAATTATAACAATCGATTGTAATAAAAGTTATGTGAATGTGGTCAGTCTCTCTCTCTCAAAATATCTGATTGTAGTCACCTTTCTTGTGATGTTTGATGATCAAATGCTGGTAGAATGAGATGACGTAAGGTGAGTAGGCATCATGACATAGCGTTAGGCTACTGCTGACCTTTTGGCCATTGGTCAGGGGGATCATCTACTTCTAGGAGTGGATGGCCACGAATAACATTACTTAAATAAGAAATGTTTAGGCCGACTTCTTAATCACATGCCCTAAGAATAAGGAGAATTCAACATTCTCAGATGGAAGACAGGCTGGATGAAATCTTGTGCTATCTATCCCAACCAAGCATGCACCTCTCCAGGTTACCATCAGATGAAACAAACATGGCCATCAAGCAACCAACCAGGGACAGCATCTTCTTTAGAAAATAACTGTATTGCTTAGTCACACATTAAGTTAATGTGGGAATATTATTTTGGGTATTGTGACATTCTCAAGCCTTATACAACCAAATAAACCAGAAGGTGACCTACCTGTCTGGGTCAATGCTAGCTTATCATTTAGCATCTGGAAACTTCTCTTATGTTGCTGGATCTGGTCGGAAAGTATGGGTGGTGACACAGGGGGGCAGCCAGTAACCTAATTCTGTATGTGGCTTATTAACTTGTCAAAAAAAAAAAAAAAAAAGTGTGCCTGGGTGGCTCAGTGGGTTTAAGCCTCTGCCTTCGGCTCAGGTCATGATCTCAGGGTCCTGGGATCCAGGCCTGCATCGGGCTCTCTGCTCAGCTGGGGGCCTGCTTCCCCCTTTCTCTCTCTTCCTGCCTCTCTGCCTACTTGTGATCTCTGTCAAATAAATAAAATCTTAAAAAAAATAAGTCGATCATTCATTTTAGTTTGGTAGACTCATTCTAAAGTCTGAGGACATTATTAGAACTGCTAAATTAGGGAATAGGTTGGTAAGTTTCCAAAAAAGAAACTCTTATTGGAGAGAAACCATCACGCCAACTTGCTTTTTGTTTGTATGTTTCACAACAAAATGATTCAGTCTCACCAGGCTTCATATTAGGAGGAGCAAAGCCATCAGGGAATGTATACTTTTCTTTTGTCTGTTTAAAAACATTTATCAAGTTAATGGATTCATGACTTCCTCCATTCCATGACTTCAAGCATTTTTGTGCAGAGACTTAAAAAACTCTACGTATGAATAACATAAAGGAGACCATGACTCTGGAGACCTGGGTGTCTGTCCAACCAGTTTAGTCTTCTGCATTTGTTGCCAGGGGCCTGACTCAATGAAATGTGTTCAGTTATGGTTTTATATTTGGGAAGAGCTAAGTACCCTGATGTTTTGATTTTTTTTTTTAAAGCAAATAATTTGAGGCAGAAATAATAGAGCATGTCCTCTGTTAGATCTCATCGCGCAAGGGAAAGATCACCTCCAAGAACCTTGCCTACAACACAGAGTCTCTATTTCACACAAATTGCATGGTGTCTTTTCTGGTTGTTGGGTTACAGGTGGCTCATCATTCTGAGTTTGCAAATAACGTGCATCTTGATACATTAGGTTTAAAGTGGGAGGATGTTCACAGACAGAGAACATCAATTCAGCTCTCAGCAGGTGCCAAGTTCAAAGTGCCTTTTTGCAGAAAGTCACCACCAGCTCTGCACCTGCTCCTTGGAGAAAGAACCAGGTATTAGAAGGGCTGCCACAGAGAAATGACTTAACAAAATCATAAGCAGGATGTGGCTCTGTTTCCTCTGTGACAGGGGCATGTTTGTGCCCTCTCAATTATACCGAACTTAATGGGAGCCTGGTCTGTGAGAGGGGCCAGAGAAAGTCTAATAGCTAAATACCAGCGAGGATGCATTATTACTTAGATTCTATCAAACAAACCCAAGCAGCGGAAATACGCAAACATTACTGTTTCACCTAGTTGTTTATCTTTTCCTTGAGGTCATGCTGCAGATGAAGAGTACAATGAGAATAAATGTGACCGTGAATGAAGATGGGGAGTGTTCAAAGGCTCTGGTTGAACAGAAAAAGAATGCTAGAAAATCGTGGGATAGAAATGCAGCTGGGAAGTTAAGGCAGGTACTCTGTGCTCCAGGGAAACTGGTTTCCTCTTCTAGTTGGTGAGTTGTCTTGTGTGTCCCTGCTAAGTTCAGAGGTTGTTTCAGGCCATCAGATGTTAGAATTGCAACAACTCCAAACCAGGTGGGACAATCATTGACGTATTTGAGAGAGGAAGTCATTTCAGGGATATAGTTCTAGGAGAAATGAAAGTTATTATGTGCAAGTGTTGGACTTTGAAGGGAGGAGAAGGGTGGTTGACAGCAGGGCAGGAACTGTGTACATTTCCTCTTCCTGTTTCCTTAACTGACGTCCTCAGGCATCTCTCCTTATGGGGGGAGGATGTTCTCTACTGCCTTCTTTTTAGCCTCCTTAATCTTGTTTATATGGCACCTGCAGCAAGGAAACATCTGTCCAACAGGGATGGGACTGGGGTTACAAGAGTTTGCTACAAAGTGTGTTAATGTAAGGTTAGGAGATTCACAGAAATGAGTCCTGAAAGGCTGGCATAAGTGTTGACTTAAAAATTCTGATCTCACATGTTCATTTTTCCTAAAACTGAAGGGCCCTTGTTTCTGGACTCTCAAACCTTTGGGCAAAAAATCAAAACTGCAGAGTGGATGAAAATCGCCTCTTATTTTAAAGGCTCACATACACTTTAGAGAAGCCATTTTTCTAGCCCTGTTATTACTATAAACAAGCAATTTCATTTTAACATTTACTCTTTATTGTGTCGCATGAAGTACCTACGTAATGCAAGTATGTACTGTACTAAAATACCTATATTTCCAAATAACATTATATGGTGTAGACCACAGTCTCTGCAGAAGCATCATGAGTAACCTATGCCTTTAAACTTAACAATCCATTGTTGGATGCTGTGAAAAGTACGCTAACAGATGAAGAGAAAGAAATAAAGCTAAGTATGAATACACTTTTCCAAACATATACATACGCAGCTTACAATGGAGCCCTAATGGACATAAGTCAAATGACAACATCTGATGTAGGAGCTATAAAATGTAGACTCTGCAATAAAAAGCCAAAGGCACATAAAAATATATTTTAACTTTAAAAATAACTTAGTTACAGTAATACTTCGCTTGTGTCTTACCAACATGTATAGCTGACTGTCAAAATTGCGCGATATAGATATAATATATCGGGATATATAAGAGCTACGAGAAAATCCCCCGAACCCATAGAGTTGTTCAAATGTGAAAACAGAGAACAGTTTTAACACTGAAGAATTCGCTATGGTGAGCCCAAATAAGGTAATATAGAAAAGAGTCTAGAAAAAAAGGCTTAGGTATTAAATTTTGACTTCTTCTTGTTCAGAAAATGCTGGAGTATTGTCAAGTTCTTTAACGTGACTTGTGCAGCCCTTTGTAGCTAGTGCCAATCCTGGCCGAGCCAGAGTTCTTACGTTTCTGGAAACAAAAAAAATGTGAGCTGAACATTAGCGATGCCTGCTGAAAATGGGTTCTGACTGACTCACTTCCTTTCTGCCAGGACGGGTTTTTGTTTGTTTGTTTGTTTTGTTTTGTTTTTTTCTAATTGTTTTTGCAAACAGGGCATCACAGGTACAAAAAATATTTCGTAGGAACATGATTTTAGAAAACCCATCACGCACAACTGCACACATAGCCAGTGAAGCTCTTCTCTTTGACTGTGGTTAGTTTAGTTTTTATTTTCTGATACCTTTTCCCCCAAAGGACAGGAGTCCACGGTGTCCATTACTTATTTTTATCCATGACATTCAGCACCTCATCCAAAAAGGAAGGCCCCAGATCGAGCTGCAGGGAGAGGAGGGAACCCGTGAGGTCAGAGAGGGACTCCTCTGACTTCGTCTTCTCCTTGACGAGCTGGCACGGGGCGGGATGATCAAACATGTCCTCGGCCGGCCAGTCAGAGTACTGTTCGGAGAGGCTGGAGGAGTGGCTGTCCCTGCCCCGGCTGGACTGTGACGCGGAGCCGCTGGAGCCCCATGAGACGTCTCCCTGGTGGCCTGTCCCGTTCTCCAGCAGACCGCTCTTCTCTGGGGCCTTCTCCTCCACGACCGGCTCACAGCTGAGCCGGGGCAGCTTGGCCGGCCCAAAGGACTCCTGTTTGGAACTAAATGTCACCGGCGACAGCAAGGGCAACATGAGTGCCTGGGACCCTCCAATGGTCGGAAGGGAGATGGCATTTTTGAGCACCGGGGAGGGTGTGTCTATGAACACGGAGTCGGAGGTGCTGTTGGCCCGCAGGAACTCGCTGTGCCCGGGGAAGGGACCCAGGCGTGCTTTCTCCTGGTTCCCTGGGAGCAGCTCATAGTTCCCTTGCAGGAAGGAGATGTCGCCGAAGACATCGTGCTGGCCCTCTTTGCCAATGTGAATGGTGTGGCGGAAGTCTCCGAGGGGAGGGCTGATCATATCGGGGGACAAGATGTCCCTCAGTTTAAATTTCTTGCCTTTCTTGTTATTGGCAGCTTTTAGGTAAATCGGTGTCTTGGCTGGCATTTTGGGATCCGAGAATGTCTACTTTGCAAAAGGGAAATGGGCCACTTTCTTCTGCGGATGTTGGGTTTCTGAAAATCCTTCCTGAGAGGGTCTGTCACATCATTTTTTTTTTCTCAAGTAGCTTCCAGAAGTGGCTGTGAGGTGAGCCGGGGTTTAAGAGGCCTTCCTGAGATTACAGCCAAGTGGGGCGTCCCAGAGAGCGAGGTACATCATCCAACCCCTTCCACGGTGGGGAGAAACCTGGAAAAAGGAAACCAAAGCAGGTTATAGTTAGCACCTTGCCCTTTGGGGTTCACCAGGGCCCGCCTTTTTCACCAGAGCCTGTGCATAATGGCAGGAGCAGTTCTGTCAAGAGCCACACTTGATTTTGTCTTCTCTCTCTATCTTCAGGTTTTCTACTAAGGGTCCACTAACCACAGTCTTCTTTCAGGGGGAGAAAAGGGAAAAAAAAGAAAGAGATCGAAAAACCTCACACCTATGACATCAGCACTTTCTAAACATGGCTATGGACACAATTTTCTACATGTGTCTAAGATTTTAGATTTTTCCTCTGTTCTAAGTACTGCTGTCAGCACATGACCAGAGCGATTTCAGCTTCCTAGATACAAGCGGATTTGCTTTCAAATGTGTTTTCTCTTTTGTTCGGTGTTCACACTAGCAAGACTGATAGTATTTTGTCATTGAGCTCCATGTCTAAATAAAATTAATGCAATACAGTGAACAGTCCTATAAGCAAAGGGACTGGAAATATTTACTAAGTGACAGTGGTTATTAGAGGGAGCAAACTGCATTCTTACACATGAGAAAACAGGGATTCAGGAATCAAAAAAAAAAAAAAAATCACCCTTTCTCAATCACCTACAGCCAGCTACAGCTGGGATCAGGTTGCAGTGCAGAGAACTGGGCTGCCAAGGGTTTCAGGACCTGGGGCATTCTGAGATGGAAGGAAAAGATTCAAACGGCTTCTTTTCACAGAAAAAACCAGTGTGATCAGCTATAACAGGCTGGGTCTTCACTTGGAAATACTTTTGGAACATTTACTGATACAGCATGTATCCTCTCCCTGGGGTGGGCAGAACCCCGAGGAAACCTCCATGATGTGACTCCTAGCATTAATGCCTTTGTGGGCACAACCTGGGACTTGCTTCTAACCTACAGAATATGGCAAAGGGGATGGGATGCTCCCCCCTTGGTTAGGTTATATTCATCTTAGCAGACTGAGAAAGTCTCCCTTCACTAGCCTTGAAAGGATAAGCTGCCATGGAGAGGGAGGCCCGACAGAGATGAATTTTGCCAACAGCCTGAGGAAACCTGAAGTGGATTCTTTCCCCAGTTGAGCATCTGATAAGACTGCAACCCTGACAACTGGCTCACCCCCTGATAAGACCCCGGAGCGAAGCCCTGCCTGGACTCCCAACCCACAGAAACTGTGGGACAATCACTAGAGAGTGATGTAAGCCACCAAGCTTGTGGTCACGCATTACCAGTGTGGAAGGCTCACAACCCCTCCTTGCATACGCCACTCAGCACAATCAGAAATGCTAAGCTAGGCAGTGTGGGGCTCCAGGTTCTCATCTTACAGAGGAGAAACTGTTCATCTCTTAAAAATAATCCTCTAACTCTTCAGTCACGTCAGCTGACATGGGGAAGCTAAAACCTTTCCCACTGTGGGAATTCCTGAAATGGCTCAGCTGAGACCTCTCCCATCGGGCTCCTCTCCCACGGGCAGTGGAGCAAATAAATAAATAAATACTTGGAGGGCTGAGTCAGGTGGTGGCTTGAAGAGAGCCAGACACATTTGCTTTGTAGCAGCCAGAGGCCGTCTGTATCCGCTGCATACTTCTTTCCTTTCGGCGAGAGCTTCACATTCATTTCCCTGTGGCAGGTGGAAAGAACTGTGCCCTGGTACCCACGGGCAAGGGACCAACTAGCTCTGTTTGGGAACTGGCTTGCACCCAAGCTCAACAAGGCAGAGAACGATGAGCGGGAGAGGCCCACCATGCCCTGCCTTCATGTGCGGGAAGGCAGCCCTGGCAGCGCAAGGGGGTCTGAACCCAAGTTCGATAATCCAGCTGTCACCTGGGACCAAACACTTGCCATCTCTCCTTCTCTTTAGTCCTGACGAAGGCCCTGGCTCCAACAAGCTCCCCAAGGTGCCACTTCCCATTTGAGGTTAGGGTCCCAAGGAAACACTGTGTCACTAACAGAGATGACTGCTACCGAAGAATGGGACATGCATGTGTAAGAAGCCAGGCTGGCAGGTCCAGACGTTCTCTGTTTTCCCTCGAATTTGAGTCTAGTGGCTGTCACAAATGTTACAAATCCAAAGCCTTGGATCCCAACCTCAGAACTTCCTGGTTAAGTGTCCAATGGCCCAGGGCCCTGCCACCCCAGGTAGCTGGTATTGCCTCCCGGCGCCCCTGGGCACCGCACGGTGGATGACAGCTCGCAGGGGCTGCTGGGACACCGAGCCCACAGAAGGTGGGAGGCCGTCCCGAGGGACAGCTGCCCACTGGAGTGGTGTCCTCAGCACACACGGCCAGGAGGACAGCTGCCATGGAAAGATACAGTGTGTCCACCACAACGCAAGAGAAAGTGAGGCTGTCCGTGGAGTCAAGGTTACGCGAGGCCAGAAACCGAGGGAGAGTACTTCAAGCTATGCAGAAAAGTACCATGGGGATGCAGCCAGTGAACGGTTCTCTGCCCTGCTGACGAGATCCCGCGCCACTGCCCTGCACTTGAACAAGGACTGGGTGAGCTGGGGAGAAGGGGAAAGGAAACACTTGACCAGGAAGGTGCTCAGGGCAGGAACGCACAGCTCTCCCTCCCCGCCTGGCCACGGCCATGACCACGGCCACTGCCATGGGCACTGAAAGCCCTTCATCAGAGGCTGGCTCAGCCTGGTCGAAGCTGGGTTTTAGGTCAGTGGCATGGACACAAAGGTGGGAAGGAAGCGACAAAAAGAAAGGAAAGGGTTGGTGAGTGAAGGCCACATACGCAGCAGGCAGTGAGACTGGAGGGGCAGAAGAGAGAAGATACTGTAAAAAGCATTTTTCTTTCTATAGATATTTACATAGTGTTTATTGCCGGACAGGGATGTGCCTTCTAGGACTTTGCAAACAATAATTTGTATTAAATTTCTACTATGCACCGGTGCTATGAGCTCCCAAATACACGGGAGTTTGGTTTTTTTTTTTAAAGGAATTTTGGACAAAAATGTCAGTTTTACAACAACTTTAGATTAGTAGCTATTCACGAGTAAAGCTGGGGAAATGGAGCTCGCCCCCCACTCCCTGCCCGCCCATCTTACCTGTCCTTCTCCACTCAGGGGCAACCATGCTCCATCCCACAGATCACAATCTAATAGTGAGCACGTCTTACACTGGCTGCTTCCTCCCCTCCTTTCTGGATATTCTGGGCTCCCGGGCTTCTCAGCCAATGTACATCACTGCCCCCTTTCCCTTCCTGGCCTGTTTTTTCCGCATCTTCTCTGCCATTGCCAGTACAGGAAACTAACGGGCAGTTTCTTCAGTAACAACAAAGTGGCTGGTCCTGGGCGGGGGCGGGGGGGGGGGGGCGGGGGCGGTATGCGCACACTCACTCCTGGGAACCACCCACCCTGAGTACTACTGCAAGCAGCCCTGTGTTCTGGCCACTGTTCCAACATACTGGCTCCTGCATAAGAAACCATGAGGCTGCTGTTACCAGCCCCATTTTACAAATGAGGCACTGAAGGGCAGACGATGAGTCTTGAGTCCCTTTGCCAAGGCTACCTGGCTACAAGGCTCGAAGCCAAGTGGCCAGGCTCGAGTTGAAGGTCCCGACGCTGAACAAGCACACTCGCCGGGAGTTCAGTCAGCTCCCCCGTGAGGAAGGGGGCGCACTGCCAAGCCTGTTCAAGATACAGATGTGTGATGACACACTGGACTGAGGCTTTGCATACCCCGATGGTGGGAGCCCCAACAGATGCCCCCTGGGTAGCAGTGGGTTTGACAGCATCTGTCACAACTGCAAATCCCATGCCTTGGACACCAGGATTCCACTTACAGAGATGTGCCGACTTACATATATGGGAAATAATCCGTGTACAAGATTATAACCTAGGAACTTACAACAGTCTGGAACTGGAAACAGCCTAACTGTCCACTGATGGAAGACTGGTTAAATTGAATTAAGGTGCCTCTAATACAAATGTGTGCCATACAGGCCTTAAAAAGGATGAAGCGGGTCTTTGTATGCTGATAGAGAAAGAGCTCAGAGATATCGGTCTTTGAAGTATGCAGATCTACTTGTGCCAAAGTACACAGCCCTCCTTGTGCTAGCTTGTAGGTCTATGAAGTCTCGCTGGAAACACACACAGGAAACTCATAATGGCGCTGCCCACAGGGAGGAGTGGATAGAATACGACAGACGTGGGCGGGCGAGAAACTTCTCACTGTGTATCCTTTTAGGGTTTGGGGGTTTTTGAAACATGTGACTGAATGAGCAATTAGCTATTTAAAAAGCAAATTAATAGGGACACCTGGGTGACTCAGTCGGTTAGGCTGCGCCTTCGGCTCAGGTCATGATCCCAGGGTCCTGGGATCGAGTCCCGCATTGGGCTCCTTGCTCGGTGGGGAGCCTGCTTCTCTCTCCGCCTCTGCCTGCTTGCGTGCGCTCTCTCTCTGACAAATAAACAAACAAACAAACAAACAAAAACTCAAAAAACCAAAATAGGCTGCTTAGGGCTCAGGCTGCAGCTTGGAGTGAATTTTATATAAAGGTCCCAGAAAAGCCTACTGAATTTGACTCGCAGGATTGTAATGCAAACATTTTGGGGGCAACTGTGTTCAAAAGCCGAAACCTACGGTGGCAGTGCGTGGGTGAGACCTCCCCCCAGCCCCCCGAAGAAAGGTGAGCTTGTCTCACCAGAGTGTGGCCAAGGGACAAATCGCCTCTTCCTGCGGGGACCAGGCAGTCACGTTTAAGAGGCAGCAGTGGGACCTGGCAGAATGAAGATCTCCCAAGAGAAGGGTTTGTGGTCAGAAAGTAACGAGAAAAGGCAAGAGGCAAGAGACATAAGGATGCAGCAAGTGTCCAGGTGGAAAGAAGCATGGGCCGGAAGAGGAGCCGGGCTGGGGCAGACTGCTCCTGTCCAGACCGCGGCTAGTGACCCAGACGACACTCTGCAATGGGATGGTCCTAAATGTCCAGCACAAAATCCTGTCCCTGCTCACCATTTTCACAAAAGGAGACCTGGGCTCCAGGAGGCTGCTGGCAGCTGACCGATGTGGCAGTGGGCAGAGCAAGGATGAATCCAATCCCAGTGGGGGAGCCTGAGTCAGGCTGACACCTCTGCCCAGAAAGAAGGGGGCCTGCTTGCTGTAGGATGGGGTGGGAGAGAGGAAGGAGGGGCTCACAGGCCAGGTGTGAACTACTCTCCCACAACTGGTGAGCAGGCCCTCTGGCTGTTCCGCAGACCAGATGAAGAGAACTGCTGGCCTTTTTCTACCGGGCAGGACTACTGCGACCACTTGGTACAGAAACGCCCGCAGGATACTGCCCGCCTACACTGGGGGGCTCCCCCAGCTCTCCAGCTTTCTTGTGTTGCCATCATTCCTCTACTCCCACTGTTTTCCTCAGATCCAAAGACAGAAAGTCAGAGAGAAGGAGGCAGGAAGGCAAGAAAGAAACAGGAAAACAGGAAGAAATCTTCCCATGTGTAGCCTTTCTTCAAAAACCCACCTCTTGACCCTGAAATCGGAACTCTCCATGATTGCTAATCCCTTTCTCTGTGTTCTTGGATCACTCTTTGTTCCTCTTTCCCCACTTCGATGATACTTGAGATAATACTCATCTGGGAAGTTAGATCCCTTAGAAAACAAAGGTCCCAGTCCCTGGGCACTGGAAGCGGACAGATTTGCCAACAAAAGATTTCCCTGGCCAGTGGTTTGTCACCTTCATCAAGGTGAGAGAGAACGTCCGGCAGATGTGGGGACCCAGAGTCCAGCTGCAAATGCACAGGCCCCACTTACAGGAATTTATGAGACATCCAAGGGTTCCAGGATACAAAAGGACCCGAGGGGAAGTCACAGTTTTGATAAGAATGGCAGCGTGTTGAGCCGTCCTTCCGGCACGACGCTAACCTACTCCATTTTCTGGTGACAGAATGAAGCCCAAGTGACAATGTTTGTTAGTGAGAGAAATCATCACAGCAGGAATAATTCAATGGAAAAAAAAAAAAACCCAAAAAACAAAAACCCCGAAGCAGCCCTTTGATTTACTTCCTTACCATCCTTTTGGCAAATAGAATGATGCCAGAAAGACCAAAGCAGCGTAGTGGCCAGGAGCTGGAGAGAAACGGGATTCGTTAAGAAGTGACGCGCGAAAAAATCAGTTCCTGAATCACTTAAGAGTTGACTGGACTGGCAACTCATCTGAAAAGAACAAAGAGGTTTAGATTTTAAAAACCCCATTTAACATAGGAATGTTTGGTTGGTCCACTAATTATTTTTAGAGTAACTCTCAGTGGACAGAGAGGATAAAAAAAGTTCTAAAATCTTATGAAACAGGTTGCAATGTTAATTTGAAACACACATGCATAAAAACAGGGGCAGGTGGAGGGCGGAGAAACCATCCCAAGGGACCTTCGGGCTTTTTCCTTTCTTCTACTTTCGGGAAGTGAGTGCGTGCGGACTTCCCCTTGCTTGCTTTGTTGTCACATCCTTCAAGGACATCCTAGCTTCTGATCACTTTTCACTTCGCCTCCCCCTCTTTAGCACCCAGACCCAGCACTGCCGCACCACCTGGGCCCCAATCAGAAAAATGAAACGGGTCCTCCTTCAAGTCTGAACCATTAGCCCAGGAATGGATGATGAACCTCTCTACTCCCAACTATCTTTGGGGTAGTTCTCTCTGCCGCCAACTGGAAAATAATGCTCCTGTGATAAGACCCGGAAAACTGTATTTGGCCCTAGATGTCACAATTTATTGGTTTTTAAAAATATTTATTTGAGAGAGAGAGAGAGAGAGCCAGGGAGGGCCAGAGGAAGAGAGGGTCCCAGGCAGACTCTGAGTTAAGCATGGTGCCCAGCACGGACCTGGAGCTCATGACTGAGGTCATCACCTGAGCTGAAATCAAGAGTTGGAAGCTCAGCCGACTGAACCACCCAGGCGCCCCTGGACTCCACACTTCAGAAGGGATAAAGGTTACCTGAAACATGTTCCTACATGTTCTGTGGCGTCCAACAGGGAGACAAAGAACTTGGTCATGACATGTGAGAAGCTGAAGGAGGGGAGCAGCTGAACAAAAACTCAGACTGAGGGAAAACTAATCTTTAGGAATCTGAAGGATTCATTAAACTGTAATAGAAAAGGAATTAACTTGTCCTCTGAGGCCCTAGGATTACTGGGCAGAAGGTCCAAGCACCTTGATTTTGGCTCCTCTCAAAGATGGAGTGGGTGGCTGCCAGGTGTGTGACCGAGGTCTGAGGGACATTACAGGGAGCAGTCCTGATCCCAGGCCTCCTCCGTGGTGCACGGCGGGTCCCTGCTCATTCTGTCTCCCACCCAGGGACACTATCATTCATGGCCTCCTGTCACATTTGCCTGTGAAAACACGCACAGACTTTACCTAGAAGACTTTCTACTTGAAGATGGCCATGTTTTTACTAACATAGGAATGACCAGTGGCTAGCTCAGAAACGCTAAGACGTTACCACAGCGTGGGCTCTCACGCCAGTCCTTCCGCGAACCTCTTAGGAGGGCTTCTCTGCATCAAAGAATTTCAAATTCATGGGAAAAAAAATCATGGTGTTAGATGTTTCACACTGAACTTCAATCAAAATCCAAGACAGAAAAAAAAAAAAAAGGGAACCAGAAGAATGCCTAATAAACATCATGCTGAAGGGATGCTTTTCATATTTTTAGTCTATTTTACTCCACCCATGAGAAGATAAGAAGATGCCATTTCTATTTTGAGATTCTTATCCTCTCCTGTATCATCCAAGCTGAGCATGGCATCGCTATATGTGCCCAGATGGTGACACTCAGTGAGCTCTGCCCCTAGCCGCTTAGCCCTCAAGCCCATGAACTCACAGCCAGACCCAGCGGACTCAATTTTATGGACCCACTCAAACAGTCTGACACAGCTCACCTTCGCTTATTTGTAAATGGACGTCTAGTCTATGATTCAGCAACAGCTTGTATTTATTTTTCTTTTACGACCTGCTTTATAGAAACCCACAAAATACCATATGGGAGACTCACTGCTAATTCGTGTACACGCCTCACATTTATAGGATCTAATTGTACTAGTTGAAAGGTTTTTTAGAGGCAAAATTGGAAGACGGCACCTCCACCTCGAAAAGTCTGCACTTTTGAAGATGGGCCATTACACACCCTTTCTCCTTATTAAAATCAGTTATTGGGGAGGACTCAATATGGCCATCGATCCCCGGGTGTTGGAGCAAGGCAGGAGGAAGACAGGTTCTCTCAAAATGCCTGACTCATGTACCACAACCAGCTTTGCATGGGGCACATTGTCAGGGCTAGTCGGAAGGACCAAGGCAGGCACTCTAGCATGACACCATTACTGTGAACAACTCGCGGAGCCCACCGATCTGTGAAGCTGCAATGAAACTATTATTACAGAAAGAGAATTAGACCCCAAAGTTTAGGCCCCTGATTACTCTTCTTCTCTGTTAGGGAGAAAGGACAGATAATGGGATCTTCCACGTTATTCTCCCAACCTACCCTAGCCCTTGATAATCATTCATTCTCATCAGATGGGCTGAAACATGGCTTCTCCACCTCATACCATCACTGGTGATCTTTGGAAGCCGGCAGTGGCCATCCCATTCTCCATCTACTTTCAAGGCAGGCTCCCTTGTGTTATTTGTACGGAAATATCTATACACAAATATTTGTTCAATAAATGAATGAACATCCTCTCTCAGACCAGGCAAACCAGGCTCTTCTATGGAACACAAATTGGATCTTCTCTTTCCCTCCCACTATACAGAGTACACAGTGAACATCAAGTCAAGAAGTTTTTAAACCCATAACCCCTACTACCCTTCCATCATGAGGGATGAGTTGGTTTGCTCCCCAAGTGCCAACCCCCAGTCCAAGTCTATAGGGGATCTGCAAGGAAGTGGCAAGATTGAAATGCCTGTTTCTCTAAGGAATTTACACTGGTGAACATGAATGACTAACATGTGATGTCTGCTATGGGCCAGGCGGGTACTGAACGTACCTGTTAGGAAACAATCTTAGATTAAGCCCATATCTCAGGTCAATCAGCCAAAGCCATGGAGGAGCTAGGAATTCAGCCACCACTGGACTCCACAGTCTGTGCTCTTAATTGCTCCTGGTTGGCTAACATGACAACTGGCATGCAAGTGAGTTTAGGATGGAATGGCCACCGCAGGTTACCTGCCTCCAGGTCTGACAGGACAAAGAAGCAGCGATACACTATGATCTCAACACCAACGGGAGGCAGAGATAGTACCTGCACCTTGTCAGCAACCAAGAATGAATAAAATGGTCCTCGACACCAGCCAAAAGAATTTTGTCAAAAGAAATTTGACTTGATGTAAAAGAAAAGCCAAAAGATTAAAATTTTGCAGTGACAAAAGCCCCCTGAGGCTTGAAGAGAAAAACAAACATCCTGTTCTAGAAAAGAGCATTCAGCGCCGTTAATTCTTTTCCCAGAGGAAGCACGTGCACCGGGCGCGCACAACCACCACGCAGCTTTCACTGGGGACAATGGCTCCCTTCCCTCACTGGGGACACTTCACTTCCCTGCAACTTTCTGAAACTAAAAACCCTGTGTTCCTTATGTGGAATGTCCTCCCACCTTCTTACCATCAACCCCTACTCATAACATCCCTCAAGATCCGCTTTAGTCACTTCCTTCCCAGAGAAAATTCTCTAACTCACCTCACGTAATCCAGGCTTGGCACTGTGCTGGAGGGAGGCTTTCTGAGGACTCTTAAAGAGCCTATTATTTGTTATTTTTGTTTTCTGGTTTTGTGATTTTATGTCCGGTATCTTCAGGTAGGTGTTAAGCTCAATAAAAACGAGGAAGGCAAAGGTGCTAGGAGTAAGAGCTACTGTTGATAAAAATCTCCTCCTTATAATGGATTCCCGACAGAACCTCCTCTGGGCAATGATCACCAGAGGCCCTCACATGTTACTGAATAAACCCTTTTAGTTTCCCCTCATCCATCCCTTAGACCCTGCATCTGCCAATATAGTCCGTGGGCCAAATCCAAACCTTGGCCTGTTTGTGTAAATAAAGTTTTATTACCACACATGTATGCCCATTGATTTATATGTTGTCTGTAGCTCAGTAGTTCTTCGCTGAGGGTGACTTCACACCCCCACCCAGGTGACATTTGGCAATATCCGGAGATATTTTTGATTCTTGTGACTGGGGGTGGTGGTGCTACTGGCATTTAGCGGGTGGGAACAGGGGAGATGCTAAACATTCTTCAAAGCATAGGACAGCCCCCCCATAACAAGGAATTATCTGGTTCCACTTCTCAGTAGAGCTGGGGCTGGGACCCCTGGAGAGATGCTTTCACAGGACAAGGTCCGAGTTGAGTAGTCAGTGACAGGCTATGTGGCCCTCTAGGTCTAAACTATGAACTGACCCCTTTACAGAAAAAGTCTGAGCCCCTGCCCCAGATATGGCCTTTCCACAGGGCTGGACAGTGGCTGTCCATCCCCCAACCCTTAACAATCCCTCTGCAGTCACAACCATGCACGTGGCTTCAACAATCCCCTCTAATGGTACCTTCCCAGTCAGTGTCTTTAGTTCACATATAACAAGTCTTTTTAACTACAAAAGGTAGCTCTGTGGACCAAGGCTCATCAATGACAAGATGAGTAAAGAAATCAAGAGAGCTACCAGAAGCTCTTTGACATTGCCCTAACCATCAAGGACAGGATCAGTGGCTTTTTCTCCTTGGATAGGCTATTGACAAGTTTGGAGCTGGGTATGGGCCAAGGTACTCGTTGTGCACACTAGTATCAGTAGCTAGAAATTACAAAACAAACACAAAGAAAACACTGCTCCTTCGCAGACAGCACTGGACTTTTCTCCCCTGGTCTTTTTTAGACTTCACTTGTCTTCCCCAACACCCCCACCGGGGCACTTCCTGTTCAACTTATTCCACACGAATGTGCCATCTTTCCTCCTGCCTCCCTAGCACAAGACTCCTACACTTTCCCCTCAGTAAATGGCAGGAAGGCACCCAAATCCAAAACCCGGCTGTCATCCCCAACTTCTTTCCCTGCCTCATTCTCCACTTCAAGGCCCACTGCGGTCTCCCCTCACCAACCC